TTCCTCCCCATCATCCCCAACCCCCAAACCTCGCTCTTCCAGTATGGGATGTTCTGACAACTCCCTGCCCCCCTGTCTTCCAATGTCCTCCCCTACCTCCCTTTTCTCCACCTTTCCTTTTTCTCTCCATCTGTCCTCTCTGGTGGTCTGGTCTGTCTTATTCCTGACACTTTTGCTTTCCAATGAGTTGCTTTTTTTTCTTTACTTTCTGTCACTTTCTTCTGTCACTCGGTCTCTGGTTGTCATCTTTGTCATCCTGTCTCTTTCCTACATCTGTCCATATGACTCCTTGTCACTTTTCCTGGCTCCATCTCTCTCTTTCCCTCTCTTGCCCTTCTTTCTCCGTGGCCCGGGCCCCAGTTCTGAACCAGCTGGAGGAGTTGCTGAGCGACATGAAGGCGGACGTGACCCGCCTGCCAGCCACGCTGTCCCGAATACCCCCCATCGCAGCCCGCCTTCAGATGTCCGAGCGCAGCATCCTCAGCCGGCTGGCCAGCAAGGGCACGGAACCTCACCCCACACCGGTAACCCTCTTTCCCCCTAACTCATTTTCCCTGTTGGTGCTCCTCTTGCACACACACACACACACACACACACACACACACACGCCAGACTCCTATACCATATGGAAAAACAACTTGCTAGACCTCAGTCTTCACCCTTGAGTGAGTCTCCCTGCCTCTGTCACACCCTCAGTATCTCCAGAGTGTGGCTCATGTTCCCATACAGCTTCTTTTCTCAACGACTATGGACTAACTAACCTCAGCTTGCTCTCTATTCCAGGCCTTCCCCCCGGGTCCCTACGCCACACCTCCGGGGTACGGGGCAGCCTTCAGCGCCGCACCCGTAGGGGCCCTGGCCACCGCAGGCGCCAATTACAGCCAGATGCCGGCAGGGTCCTTCATAACAGGTCAGCTGGTGGTTTTCTAATCCCTGCTTCTTTCATTCTTCCTTTGCCTAGCTTCATTCCTGCTTGGCTCCTTTGTCCTCCAGCCCAATTTTTTTTTTTTGGAAGGATCCAGTGTTTTAGGGAATCAAATTGTTCTGGGCTTTGTTCTATCCTCGTTGTTAAAAACCTCACCCAGGATTTTAGTAGTTCTATTGGCCTTGCATCTGGGTTACCTCAAGGGAAGCAAAATCATAAGAGGTAGAGGAGAACATTGTTCAATCATGTGGCAAGAGGAAACTCAGAGAGAGGTGTTTGCCCTGGTCTTCCCACCCTTATATCCAGGAAAATCAGAAGTGTTAGGAGGTGACCTATAGGTGAGGATATGCTATTGTCAGGAGTGATGTTTGGGAGTAATTTGGGAATTGACCATTCCTTACTCCCTTCCTAAACAGCCGCCACCAACGGCCCTCCAGTGCTGGTGAAGAAGGAGAAGGAAATGGTGGGGGCACTGATGTCAGACGGGCTGGATCGGAAGGAGCCCCGAGCCGGGGAGGTGATCTGTATAGACGATTGACTGGATCCCAGGCGTGCCCTTCACCCAGGCCCCGATCCCGAGGCCGACCCCTTGCCCAGGCTCTGGGGCCTGATGCCAACCTTCCACCTTCCCCACCTGTTGGGCCACTACTGGGCTAGGTGCCCCTCTGCCCCTCTATTAACTCTTTCTTCAAGCAGGGCCCCTTGTCTTTCTCCACCCCAGTGCACCTTTCCCACCAAGCTTTGAAGACTGTGCTGGTGTGAAGAGGTCTGGATGGAAGATAGTTAGCAGGGTCTTCCAAATACCTTTATCCCCCACTGCCAAATATACACAGCTTCCAATAAATGGTTGTGGGGAGGAAAGAGGTGGACCCTCCCTAGTCTCTTTGCCTGCAATATCAGCTCCACCTCCTGCAGAAGTGGGTACTAGCCATGCCTGGCCTTTAAGAACTTCCATGGGGAAGAGTTTCAAAGGGAGGGGGACTTTTAGAGAGGGATGAAAATGAGCCCTGGGAGGGAGAAGGGAAGAGGAGGGGTGGCTGCATGTTAACCTTCCCCTACCTCTCCCCAAATGGAGGGTGGAACAGCTACAAGGGAGGAAGTCAATTGCTGTTCAGCCTCAGAATAAAGGCGCCATTCACTCGCTCAGTTATCTCCTGTGTACCAGCATCTTGTGTTGGGAACTTTCTCCTCCTCCCTACGCACCAAGGACCACCCCCAACAAAAAGTTGGATGGTAACTCCCTCAAGCCAAAGAGGAGCTCCCCAACCTGTTCTAGGAACCCAGGTAACCTAGAAAAGGAAGTGGGCCAGACCTGGGGGCAGCCCCTAATCTGGGGGTCTAGGCCTGGATACAGACTAAATGTGAGCCATGCAGGCAGGGGGCCTAGTCAAGGGACTCATATCTGTGGGACCAGAGCAACACAGTGGAGGCAGACTAGGGAGATGTGGGCATACCCTACTTCCCAGGAGGGGCCAGGGAGTGGCAGTTTGCATGGCGAACCTTCCACTTCCTTTTCACTGCCCCTTCACTTTCTTGCTTCCCCTTTCCCAGTCTCTTTACACCCACTCCTGGTCTGTCCCAATCCCCTCTTCTGTATCAGGTTTATTGGTTGTACATATAAATTATACTTTCCTTTCTGTGTGCTCTGTTATTTTTGGCTGGGGGAAATTGGGGTAGGGAAAGGGATAAAGATTTCTTTCTGCCCTTTCATATTATCCATCTTTCACTTCAAAAATTTTTCAATCTTGTGACTTTCTTTTCCTTATTTTTATCTTTTGGATCATTCTGTAAAACTGGAGTCCTTGTGATGAGCTTAGTGTAGGGATGGAATGTGAGTAGCAGGATCCCTATGCGCCCTTGTATCCTTGCTTGGGTGCAGAAGGAGTGAAGGGCTTCTTGGACAGAAATGCAGCAGTAGAAGTACTTTACCTGGCAAGATTGAAAACTGCCTTCCTTCCATTCCTTTTTTAATCATCCTTTCCACCTTCAAAGTTGCTCAGTTCCCTTGAGATTCAGTAGAGGTCACTATAGCTCCACAGATTTGATCCCATTATGAAGCACAGGCACACACTTTTTTTAAGGGCGTGTGGTCAGACTTGTATAGCTTACCAAAAATTTCAACTGCTAGACATTTCTTGGCATGTACTGTTCACTAACAGACCCTCTCAGAATGAGCAAGGTCAGACACTTAGTTCTTGAGATTAAAAAAATAAGAGAAATCCAACAAATATTTATTGAGTGCATACTACACATTAACACTGCTGTTACTCACAAAACTCACAAGTCAGTCATTGCTGTCATAGAGTGGGGGACAATCACAAAACACGAAATACCAGGAAGTAAAAGCAGTAAAAATAAAACAAGGTATTATGTGTTACAGAGGATAGGGAAAAGGGCTCTCAGAACATAAATTGAGAGTTAAGAGTAGGAAAATAGAAAAATATGAATTAAAATAGATGTTTATACCTTATAATGAATACAGCTATGATCTGTCATTCAAAAATAAACCTTAGAGGGCTGGGAATTTAGCTCAGTGGCACCGTACCTGCCTCGCAAGCACAAGGTCCTAAATTCTCCCCTGTACCGCAAAAAAAAAAAAAAAAGGCACAACTCAATGGTTTTTAGTATATTTACAGAGTTGTGCAAACACCAAAAAAAAAACCTTGGAGACCCCTAACAAATTGAGGTCTATACTTAAAAGTAGTTCACATTTTTAACTCAGAAAAATGTAAGTTTTCTTCAACAGAATGTTACTCTGGAACTTTCAATAAGCTAGTATAATGTATTATGTTTTCAATATTATACCTACAGATGGTGATATCATAGTGTCTAGGATCTAGACTAGTGTTTCTTAAACCTGTATTTACATGAATCACTGGGATTGTTAAAGTGCAGTCTGAAGTGTGGAGTGGGATCCTGAAATTCTGCACTTCCAACAAGTGCTCAATGCTAGTTCTTTGTTGTTGTTGTTTGTTTGTTTTTTGGGTTTTTTGGGGGGGGGACCGGGGATCAAATTCAGGTCCTTGTGCTTGTGCAGCAGGCAGCAAAACCGCTGAGCTAAATCCCCGGCCCTGCTAGTTCTTGACTATGATCTAAGCAATTCATGGCATACAACAGATGGTGTCCCGTTATAGGACACAAGTTTAAAATTAGAAACATTTTACCAGTAGTCCCAGGGTGTCCTTGTGAAAATAATACAGATAATATCAAAAATTTAGGGTCGAGGATTTAGCTCAGTGGTTCCGGCGCCTGCTTCGCAAGCGCAAGGTCCCGAGTTCGATCCCCGGTAAAAAAAAAAAAAAAAA